AACTTTAATTTTGTTCCAGGTTACGTCATTGCTACGAAGAATATTGCCAGAAATAACTCCAGAGGCTTTCGCCAAAGTTGTGGGTGTTAGAAAACTACCTGCTAGAGATTTTAGCATTGTGTCAGTTGTTAACAAGGAATCCATTACTAACAGTTTTGATGTTAACCAGTAGGTACATTTTTATATTATTTTACATGTTATGAAATAAAATGACTCTTTCTATTTTTTTTATTAGGTATTCAAACCGTGTAATGCTGGTCCTCTATATTTTTTTACTGAAAAAACGCTTCAAAAACAAAACAATAAATTTTAAATACTCAAAACTAACACAAAATGTGTAGTTTATACAAAAACAAAACATATTAAACATCTATAAGTTTAAATATCATCTACAACAATTTACATTATCGAATCATCATCTAATTTTTGCTCCATATGGATTTTGAATCATTCATTTTTAACCGGAGGGCCATTTTTTTGTACCTACTAAAACTCACATTTTGCAGAAAATATTTTAGCTTTAATCCAAAGGATGTATTTCTGTCAAACATATTTCTTTCTATTCTGTATTTAATTGTAGAAATGTCTTTCTATCTCAGAAGTTTTCCATCCGATATGAGACTTTTCATCTACCTGTCAACTTAGTGATGGTTTATTATTATACATACATTCCTTTTCTGTCTTAATCATATATAAACAATACTACCTATTTTCCTTTTCTTTTCGTATAATACTTTCTTTTTATTTGGAAGTAAAAGCAAAGAATAGAGACGCTATATAAGCGTCTATATTCTTTGGTAAAAGTTATTATGCCTCTTCTCATAATTTTATATGTTATATACGTACATAATAATATAGTCAAAGTTATTAACACGGCTCGTTGGTCTAGGGGTATGATTTCCGCTTAGGGTGCGGGAGGTCCCGGGTTCAAATCCCGGACGAGCCCAAACTTTTTAATTTTTTTTTTACCAATTTGTTATAGATGTATTTTAAAAGATTTGATTTTTTTATAATAAATTTATTACATACCATAAAAAAGATGAACATGGTAGATATACATAAATTTTTTAATACTACTACACTCACCGGCACGAAAAATGGAGCACTTGAATTTTTAAAATAAAAACTTAAATTTTTTAAATTCTATTTAAACATTTATTTATTATAATAACGTAAACACAAGCAGAACAAACTTTTTTAAGAAATTTCTAATAAAAATTGAACTTTTGAACAAAGAACTGTTTCAGTAGTTAACAATTTAAAAATTAACGAAAACACGTAAGTATATTATCATCATCATCACTGGCTCGACAACCCTTTTTGGGTCTTGGCCTGTTCAAGGATTCTTCTCCATTCTGACCTGTTTCATGCTTTTTTTTTCCAGTTTTTAATTTTTAATGTTGTTACATCATTTTCTATTTGTTCTACGTATCTCAGCTTCGGTCTTCCTCTTGTTCTTTTTCCTACTGGCACTTGTTTGAATATTTTGTTTGGTATTTCGCCTTCTTCCATTCTTTCCACATGTCCAATCCAACGTAGCCTTCCTATTTTAATGAATGTTATAATATCCGGATCCTGGTATATGTTGTATAGTTCAAAGTTATACCTTCTCCGCCAAATCCCGTTTTCTTTTGTGCCCTTATATATGTGTCGCAAGATTTTTCTTTCAAAGGTGGCTAATAACGTTTCCTCCCTTTTAGAGAGTGTCCAGGTTTCTAAATCGTATGTGAGTACCGGTCTTATTAAGGTTTTGTATATTTGGCATTTTGTTTTTCTGGAGACGTTATCTGATCTTAGTTGCCTAATTAAGCCATGGTAACATTTATTGGCAATAAATATTCTCCTCTTCACTTCCTCTGCAACGTTGTTATCAGACGTAACTAGGTATCCTAAGTATGTAAAGTTTTTTACCGCCTCAATGTTGTATTCTCCTATTGTTAAATTTGGCAGCTGCCTTATTTGTGCGTTTTTATTTGCAGGCATATATTTTGTTTTTGTCTGATTGATTTTAAGACCACTATTTTTTGCAGCTCGTTCTATTTGAGTGAATGCCTCTATCATTTCTCTTCTTGATCTTGCGATTATGTCAACATCATCTGCAAATGCTGGTACTTGCACGCTTTTATTAATTATTGTTCCTCGGGTGTTAACTGTTGTGTCTCTTATTATTTTTTCAAGTATGATGTTGAATAATATGCATGATAGAGCGTCTCCCTGGCGTAGTCCCTTCTTCACATCTATTGTTTCCGTTAATTCGTTTTGTATCCGGATTTTACTTTCTAATTTTAGTGTTTCTTTTATCAATTCTATTAGCTGTGTTGGTATATTAAATTCTTTCATTGCTTTTGTTAGGAATTCTCGGTTTATATTGTCATATGCGCTTTCGAAGTCTATGAAGAGATGATGTGTGTCGATGTTATATTCACTTGTTTTTTCAAGGATCTGTCGCAGAACAAATATCTGGTCTATTGCTGACTTCTGTTTACAGAAGCCACATTGGTATTTGCCAACTATTTTTTCAGCGTATGGTCTAAGTCTTTCATACATTACGTTGGACATTATTTTGTATGCCGCATTCAACAGCGTGATTCCACGGTAGTTTTCACATTCTAACTGGTTTCCTTTTTTATGTAGTGGTACAATAATGCCGCTATTCCACTCCTTTAGTAGCTGTTTATTCAACCATATCTTTCTTATCAGCTCATGTATGGCTTTAAGTAATGCGTCTCCTCCTTCTTTCAGTAGCTCCGATGATATTTGATCCGATCCCGGTGATTTATTGTTCTTTAATTTGTCCACTGCTGTTCTAATCTCTGCTATTGTTGGTGGACTCTTTCTCGGTTGTCTGCTTGGTCTAATGGTATATCAGGGTTCATCTACGTCCTATTCACCCCAAGCTTGTCCTTAAAATGTTCTGTCCATCTTCTAAGTATCTCTTGCTGTTCTGTCAATATATTACCCTCCTTATCTTTACACATCGTTGTTCTCGGTTTGAACTCTTTTCTGCTTTTGTTGAGTTTCTGGTAAAATTTTCTTGTCTCTGTTGGTTTACTTAGTTCTTGTAGTTCTTGAAGTTCTTTGTTGATATATTCTCTCTTCTTTCTTCGGTGAATTTTCTTTTCTTCTTTACGTAGTTGTTTATATTCTTCCTCTGCTTGTCGGGTTCTGTGCCTCTGTTGCATCTGTAGATATGCTCTGTTTTTTCTTTCTGTTATAGTTTGACATTCTTTGTCAAACCAGTGATTCGTTCTTGTTCTTCTTTCTTTACTTTACACGTAAGTATATGTTGTAACAAAATGACGCCCATTTCCTTCCTAATGAATTCTCTTTGGCATGTCTAAAATCAAATGAGAAATGTCCTGTTCAGGAATAAGTTCCCATTCCTTTAAAAGGGCTTTTTGTAACTGATTCAACAACAAAATCTTGGAGAATTTCATCAATGTACTTGGCAGCTGTTATGGAGCCTCTCGAAACGATGTATAATTCTGTATGTGCCTATAGAGAATTTCCAGCCCACACCATAATTGGGCCCCTTGATAGACTACCCTAGAACTGAACGTACATTCTGCAAAATTCATGTGGTCGTCGCCATACTCTCTCACGGCCATCTTTTACCGCAAGGTAAACCTGGACTCTTCTTCTCTTCTTCTCGTGCCACTCCTAGCGGAGATTGGAAATCATCATGGCCACTGCGACTTTGTTAGCAGCGCGCCTGAAAAGTTCAATCGAACTACACCCGAACCATTCACGTAGATTACGAAGCCACGACATTTTTCTTCTTCCCACACTTCTTTTGCCCTTAATTTTGCCCTGCATGATGTTTCTTAAAAGTTCGTACTTTTCACCTCTCACAATGTGCCCCAAGTATTCCATCTTTCTAGTTTTTATCTCATTTAGAATTTTGCATCTTTTGTCTAAAGTTTGGAGTACTTGCGTGTTAGTGACGCGGTCCATCCATGATATTCTGAGAATGCGCCTATAGCACCACATCTCGAAAGCTTCGATGTTTTTTATGGTCAACTGTTTTAGTGTCCAAGCCTCAACTCCATATAACAGGGTAGAAAAGACATAACACCGCAGCATTCGTATTCGTAACTTTATATTGATATCACGATTGCAAAAGAGTTTGCGCATTCTATTAAAGACTGATCTAGCGATTTCTATTCTACATCTAATCTTTTTTATTTGATCAGTATCGTCTGTGATCCAAGCACCTAGATATTTATAACAGGGCACACGCTCAATCGTTGTATTGTCTATTACAAGATTACCTCTGATGTTCTTTGATTTCGTGATTACCATAAATTTAGTTTTTTTCAAATTAATTTTCAAACCGTAACTGTTACAGTATATATTGAGACTTTGAACGAGATGTTGTAGTTCTACTATCGTTCCCGTTAGGAGAACTGTATCGTCAGAATACCTTATATTGTTGATCGTCTCACCATTTATTATCAGACCAAGATCTTCTTCCTCGAGTGCTTGTTCACAGATAGCTTCACTATACAGATTAAATAAAAGTGGCGATAAGATACATCCCTGCCGGACTCCTCGACGGATTTGAATTTCTTCTGTTAGTCTGCCCTCAACCTTGACATTTGCTGTTTGATTCCAATATAGATTGCATATAATTCGAATATCTCGGCTGTCTATATTTTTCTTTATTAGAACTTGTCTTAGTGGTTCATGTTGTACTTTGTCAAAGGCCTTTTCGAAATCAATAAAACCTGGACTCATCGGTAAATAAAACGTGCCTCCAATTATTTACAGTAAAATGAGCATGGTGTTTCTGGCAAACTGAAGCCTCGCAACTCGATGGCGCCTGAGAAGTTATAGGTCTGTTGTAGATCTGCGACTACTTAAATTTATATATATTTAGTATTATATATAAAAAATTATATAAGCTATTATAGATCTATCTGAAACCCTAAAGAATGTTGAAATAGTGAGCTATTGGAATATAGCCGCAGGTACATTCCTTTACTGCACAGACATCTGAAATGAAGTATAGCTATCTTATATTTAACTAATTCTTTAAATATTAATTGTTTGTTAACTTTGTTATAGGCTCGGCATACTTGACGTATTCTTGAGTGTAATCGCAAAAGCATTAACACTCCAGGTTAAAATAAGAGGAAAAACAGGCAACAGCGGTACTCCAAAAGAAATTACAACAGTTACTTTAGCTACATCTATCCAACCAAGAGACATATTGGGCGTAAGATGGTGGCTGAGAGGATCTGTAAATAAAAAGTTGTCGGAGGTTATCATAAATCTAATCAAGGACATGGCGGGAGTAAGTTTTTTATCTAAACGATGCATTTATGATATGTAGTTCTGTTTGCAATTACTTGATTCTGGAGATATCTCTGGAGATATACTGTTTATCTTATATATAATTTTAAGGGAAAAATGTCAGAGTGTTGGGCTAATATAACCAAAGGAGCAATTGCTGAAAACATACTTCACTTAACTTATCTCTCCGAAGAACAAAGAATACCGTCCTCTTGTTTGCGAACACCAACATTATGGCTGGCTTTGGCGTCGCTATGTGTTTTGGATGAAGATCATGTAGAACGCTTAACCTCTGGTAAGATTTTCAATAATTATTACATTAGATTAAAAAAAAATATGCGTATGTACCTATTTATAAGTAGTACCTCTTCTTGTAAGAATGGAAGAGATAATTATTTACCGGTTTCACGTCTGTTTTATATTACTTATTTATAAGACCTACTGAATGTCTTTCTATGTACATAGCTTAATTTTTAT